AGAAACATAATATCAAAACCAAATTCATAATGCACTAATTTAAGAATGCCTTTTCATGCCTACGGGGTTATAAAGACAATTTCGTGCATGGCGGCTTGTCTAAATTCATCGTACCATACATTTCCAAGGAATGGGTTTCTGTACATGGCATCCCGAAGATTTTATAAAGTTTCAACGGTTCTCAGTATAAACCTACTGAATTCAAGACCTTCCCACTTCCGGTGCAATAGGCCATCGTAAGATATAGGGAATCCCACTAAGTCCAGTACCCTTTAATAGTTTCACTGTATTTGACTATATCTTGCCAAGTAGGTGTATCTTTATTTTTGAGCCATTCTCGGATAACCTTAAAGTCATTGTTTTCCTTCTGTCCCTTTTTTAGGCTTTCAAGGGTGATTTCTTCTTCGTCGCCCTCTGGTTTGATAGTGGTTGCTTGAATAGTAACTTTATCAACCGGTTTCTCCAGTTTTCCTAGTCCCTTAGTGTACCGGCATACTCGTTCTAAACAGGGTCGCCCAACGAGAATGTCTGCATTGCTATGGAGACGGTCTCTACGATGCTCTATTATTGCTAGAAAGCCAGCTCGGTATGGGTGATTGGCTTCTTCGGGATGCATAGCTGCTGTGACCATTTCTTGTTGGACTTCGTGACGGGCTTCGCAAGATTGATCTATGTGACTTTCCGGTCACATTCCCTGATTCTCGATTTATAGAACGAGCCCTGCTTCTACAGGTTCTTTGAAGGTGTCCGATTATTCCACAATTGAAACATCTCCTGCTTCCATTTTAGCTGTTTCGTTGCATATTTTGCAGGATATTTAAGATTTGCGAGAGGATAGGTTGGGGAATCTTATGCTATTCCTCACTTTTCTGGGTTTTTATTTCTCTCTTTTGCGCAAGAAGATCTGCATATGAGTTTTACCGCTTCATATTCCTGGACTCTTTCTCCCTCAGCGTCTTGTAATGTTGTAGATGAAGGGCTTGCTTCATTTCCACATTTTGTAGTTCATCAATGAATGCCTGTATTCCGAATTGTTCTTGAAAATCTTTGGGCGCTTATGGATAGGGCAGATAAATCAACCTTCTTATGTTGGCCTCGAATTCCTGTAGACTCTCAATATGTTTCTGACTCCAAATCTTTAGATGGCTTTGGAATACCCGTTGCAAATGCTGCTGGCCATATCTTGTCTCCAAGGCTTGGACGAGATATGAATAACTGGGTTCTTCTAGGGGAAGTAACTGTAAAACTGTTGCTGCCTGTCCTTGCAGCGACACTATCAATGAAGCCACCATCTCTTTGTCAGTCTAGCCATTGGCTTTAGCTGCAGCTTTAAATTAAAGTCTATACGTTTCTCATGTTGTCTGACCGTCAAACGTGGGTGGCTTAATGGTCTTGCTAGAATGGCTTTGAAAAACTGGGTTTTAGATATGGCTTAGATCGGTTATAGCTGAGGACGAGGTATCGTTTGCAGTTACTCTGTTACTTACCAAAGCTAGGCTAAGAAATATTTTTTCTAATTCAATTAATTCAGTTCTAATTTGCCTTCCTAACTTTATTCTATCCATTTCCTTTGTGTTTTTATAATCTCCACCTCCGCTTTTCTAGGCCTCTTCTCCTTCTCCTCTTCTCTCGTTTCCCTCCTCTTTTTCTTCCTTCCTACGCCTTTCATTTTTCTACTTTTCTTTTTTCCTACGCCTTTTCTTCTCCACCTCCTCTTTTTTCCAACGTCTTTCCTTTTCCTCTTCCATCTTCAAAAACCATGCTGGTGGGCCCGAAGTATCCATGCCCGTTTCGTACTCAGTAGATTTAGTATATACCACGAACTTCTATTTTTGTATCCCACCGGTGTCACCAATGTTACGCAGGTTTTTGGTATTAGAATTTATTTAAACTCAACTTTTACAATAACTATATAACTGATAACATTAACTTTAGAATAATCGACCTATATAGCCCGCCTGACATTTCTAGAAGTGTCTTCTAGAATCTTCTTGACAAGCAATGATATATCCAGACATTTCTGGACTATTCCATCCTTTTTCACTTGTACTCTTACTTATGACGACCGCAGCACACCGCAGTGTGATGAGTAACATTCCACATCCTTTCCCATTCGTACGTTTTCTATAATAGCTGCAGGCCACTGTAGGGTGCTGCGTAAAAATATTATGGAAGAGGACAAAGTTATGGTACAACAAGGTTCTAAAGATTGGATAGGAGAAAGCATAATGAAGAAACAAAAACAACCCATGTCATACATAGTAGAAACTAATAAAGGTTAAATGCTGGCAAGAAACACCGAACATTTTTAAAAGTTGTCTGCTGAAATAACAAATCATACACTTTTTCTGGATAATACCCCAGAATCTGCGGTAAACGAAAATACCAACAACGTTGAAAATCCCGATGTCACCTTAGATGAGCCACATCCACACGGTGAAATTAAAACAAAGGCACGGCTGATAGAAGTACAAGAGAACTCAAGAGGCTAATCAAAGAAATTTAGCTAAAATTTAGCTTTTACCTTGGTTCAAATTAAGATAGTTACTAGTTAAGATATAGATAGTTTAGCTACATTGCTTTCTTATTTTGTTTTGTAGGCTTAAACAACAGAATGTTGTTAGATGTCAGTTGTGAATTCGATCAAATTAAACAACTTGAATTCATATATTAGTTACTATTTTTAAAATATATTCTTAAACCATTTAAAATTGGTTTATTAAGATGTCTTAAGATAATTTAGATAAAATATTGAACACTTACTTTAAAATATTTGTGTACTTTTATTGATGCAAAGTTATTATTTTTTTATTAAATTTACATTCTATTTTATTATGAACTAAGACATCTTCAAACCCTACATTGATGAATTCAGAAAAAATATATATGCGAATAAATATAAAGATAGGGTAACTTATTTAAAATTTCATCCGATGACGTCATATCTTGATAAATATGACAGATGATGAAAATCCCCAAACGTCATTAAATAGTGCATAAAATATACGAAAAACTTTTTTGCATTTTTGAATCCCAGCAAGTCCTTTGCCCTTGTAAATGAAAAAATATATTCTAAATATTATACATCTTGAGTTTATAAATATATGATAATATCGAGTAGTACATTGGTGATAGCGGTGTTTTCACAGCAGGATGAAAACACTGTACCTAGTTAGTAGATATATCGCTTATATAATTCTACAAGATAGACAAATACTTTGATATTATACGTATTCGCTCCGGGCGAAGTCATGGAAAGGGAAGCAAAAGCGATACTGGCGTTAGCTGTGGATAATTCATGCATTTTAGGGCGATATTTTGTAATTTTGGCATATCAAATACACGTATATATTTTACTTTTTTCAAAAAAGTAGGTAAAAACAACACAATAAGCAACCGGAGTTGCTGTGTTGAAAATTGTACAAATACTAGCAAAAAAAAAAAACAGTAAAACTTATATAAAAAATTTCAGTAGCAAAGTGGAAATTAAATCAAAGAAATAAATGGATAGGTGTACAATAGGAGAAAAAATTACCTTTATTTTTGTAATAATAAAAGTAATGCTGGAAATAGTAGACATCAGAAACTTAAAAGGTTTTAAATAAACAATAAATTATCATTTTACGATGTTCTTTAATATCCCTTTATTTTTAAATGTTCATTCAGCAAGGACTAGATTTCAAGATTTCTGCCTTTGATTCTTATATGTGGCTGGAATGCAATTTTGTGACTTACTGATGGGAAACCAGTTTTAATCATTTATTCTGTTTTCTTTCGAACAAAAATGAAAATATAAATAACGATCCTTTTTTTATACATTTTAACTTCACGCTATTAGAAAGTTATTGCAAGTTCACTTAAAGGCAGTCACTATTAGTGCTGCTCTTATTTTGACATCTGAGCATGCGCAGATCACTAACTTTAATAAAGATTGTGCCTGTCCTTAACAGAGAGATATTGCAAATTTTTATAAAGCCAGCCACTAATAGTGACATCCTAATTAGAGTCAAATAAATACCATGCCAAAATCAGACCTATTGCAAACCTGAAATTTTGACATTAGAATCCTCGTTCTTATACTTATTTCTAACCTAATTTTAATAACTTTAAATTATAGTTCATCTTTTTTGTTGTCTATAATATACATAATTTTAAAGAGGCATTAGAAATTATAATTTTAGAAGGTTTAAATGACGATTATATTAAATTTTTAATATTAAAAAACTTCTAACGGATACGTATGTCGGCGAACGCATCTGAAAGCTATAAAGTCGCCACTACGTGCTGCCCTTAAACATCCACAATTAAGGACAGGCACAATCCTTAATAAAGTCAGTTTTAGAACATAAACATATGCGCATGCTTAGATGTCAAAATAAGAGTGGCACTAATAGTGACTGACCTTAAGTGAACTTGCAATAACTCTCTTATTAAGGACAGGCACAATTTTTATTAAAGTTAGTGATCTGCGCATGCTCCGATGTCAAAATAAGAGCGGCACTAGTAGTGACTGACCTTAAGTGAACTTGCAATTTTTGACAGAATATACTAATCCTTTAATGACAACTTATTAGACTTAGGCAACTTCTCATACATTTTCCAGTATATACTGTTGCCTGCCTATATTTTATTATTGATTTTAATTGATTATACATAATTTTCTTTAATTTAAGCAATAAAAATATATAATAATAACAAATTAATGTTTTACTTGTTTTACAAATCCATATACTTTTATTAAAACTAACATATATACTTTTTAATTACGAATTCTATTAAAAATTGTATTTGTCAGTATACACAGAAATAGTCCATTAGTACCAAAGCGAATTGGCGCTGCTGTCCCGCACGGAGCAAATATGTATACTAAATAGAAATATATTAATTTTAAACAATCGGCCTTGGTATTTTTTCCAAAACTTTTACTAAATTTGTTGTCTAAATATAAAATTATTATAAACATAAAAGTTCTTATTATTTAAATAAATTTCATGTTTTAGACGTTAATATTCTTTTCGGCTGGCTACGAAACATCATCGGGAGCTTCTAGTCTCTTGTTATATGAAGTGAGTAAAAACCAAGATATTCAACAAAAAGCCAGAAACGAAATCAATGAGGTATTTTCAAAATATGGAGGCTTAACCTATGAAGCCGTACATGAAATGACATACCTCTCTCAAATATTTAATGGTAAAATATGTTCTTCATTATTACTATTACATTAAAAAAAAATAAATCAATAGATAAGAAATAATTATAGCCTGTATATTTTTTAGAAACCATGAGGAAATATCCCTTATTGACGACACTCGGTAGGGTCTGTGTTAAGGACTATCAATTTCCGGATAGTAATGTAGTGATTGAAAAAGGAACTGGTATCATTTTACCAGTTCTAGGATGGCACCGTGATCCAGACCTATTTCCAGATCCAATGAAATTTGATCCTGATAGATTTAATGACAAAAATGTTAAATACGATGGATATTTCCCATTTGGAGATGGACCTAGAAATTGTATAGGTTGGTAATATTTGTAATAATGGCCTCTGATAGGACTTTGATTATCCAATAATTAGATAAAGCACCAGTGTACCAACACGACTGAACCCATTTTAATGTTAGTAAAGTTTTTTGACAATTTTTGTCAGGAAACCGAGCTGGCCATTAATGTTTCAACTCGTTTCAATAATTTTGCTTATAAATTATATCTAATTATTTGAAGAGCCATTATAATAAATCGTCTGTCTTATTAGCACTATATTGTGAATTGTTTTACATTTTAGGAGCGAGGCTCGGAATGTTGCAGGTGAAGCTGGGTTTGGCGGAAGTAATCAGAAATTATAAAATCGTACTAAGTCCAAACGTTAAAGAAGAATTAGAGTTTGATCCATCGACTTTTGTTACACATATGACAGAAAAAGTCTTCGTAAGAATGAAGAAAATAAATTAATCCAAATCATTTTATGAAACAATATATTTTAATAAAAATTGTGTTTGTTTTTAACCAACGAACTGAATTATAGTGAACAGTTTTCGACATATCTTATCAAATAATACCTAATTATTAATTGCAATTAACCAGTATATATTGTTACACAGGTTTTTGGTATCGCAATTTATTTCAACTCAACTTTAACAACAATTATACAACTGATAACATTAACATATAACGTCTATCATAAAACTGAAAAACTGACGTCAAGATCACTGCATATATAAGTTGCTTTCTCTTTCTCGAACCTTGTTGTTTTAGACTTTATTTTAAAACCGGCAACGCCGCACACATGTGGCATATTCTTTGCGCCTTGTCCTAAAAGGCATAGGGCACTTAAGATCGTATAAAAATTGGAGCGAATGGTGCAACGTTGACCGGCAGACGGTTCATTCTGTTAGTTTGTATTTTTTCTATTACATTAAATTCGTATAAAAACCATAAAGCAGTTTTTTTGGGTTATTTAAAGTGCAATCAAACATTGGTCTATTCGAGCCGGATTTAATTATTGCTTTATGGCTTTGCTTGATTGTGGATCCCAATCTTCATTCATGACCTTGGGCGTTAGAGAAAGGTTAGGGCTACCATTAAAGAAAATGGACATTAAAATGTTGGGTATAGGAAGTAGGGTTACCCATATAAATAAATATGTGCATGCTTACGGTATTTTCGAAATATTGTGATTATACATTTAGGGAACCATTTTTGATAATCGAAAATATATCAAACAACATTCCGGCAGTATCTATTAAACAAAATGTGATTAATATTCCAGAAGGTATTAAATTAGGGGATAGGAACTATGGGACTGCGGCAAAGGTGGATTTGTTGATAGGGGCTAGCGTGTTTTGGGATTTATTGGAAACAGGTAGAATTAAATTAAGTACTGGTAAAACAATAATTCAGGAAACGAAATTAGGTTGGATAGTATCAGGACCTGTACCTAATTATAATTTTAACCAAGGTTTAGGGCCGAAAACAGGAACATGTAATTTAGCGGCAAATGTTACTATTCAGGAGCAGTTAGAAACATTTTGGGTTTTGGAGGAGTATCCTAAGGAAAAGAGATTATCTGCTGAGGAAGAAGAGTGTTAAAGGGAGTTTTTGGGTTACACTACTAGAGACGATACGTGTAGGTTTGTTGTTGCATTGCCTTTTAAGAACAAAGTAACTAGGTTGGGTAAATATTACGAAATCGCAAAAAAAACGGTTACATCACATGGAGAGAAGGTTGGAGAGAGACGAAATGATGTAAAGGGAATATCATAGCTTTATCGAAGAATATTTAAGGTTAGGTCACGTGTCTAAATTGGGAACTGAATCCGAGAAAGGCTTAGAGGGTAAGGTGGCAGAAGACTTACTTGAGGGTATTCAGTATAAGGAAGGTAAAATATGTTATTTGCCACATCATGGGGTGTACAAGGAGACATCTAGCACCACCAAACTTCGTGTGATTTTCGATGCTAGCGCAGCTACTAGCAATGGTGCTTCCCTTAACAATAGGTTATTGGTGGGTCCTAAGTTACAGGACGATATTTTTTGGACTTTAACTCGTTTTAGGCAGCATGAGGTGATTTATTACAGGGGATATTGTAAAGATGTATAGGCAGGTGTGGATCAAGGAAGAGCAGAGAGATTACCAAAGAATCTTGTGGCGATTTAATTCTAACCTACCTATAGAGCATTTAAAATTAAACACGATCACGTATGGGATGGCAAGTGCATCGTATTTAGCTGTCAGGTGTCTTCAGCAATTGGGTAAAGAAAATCAGCTGAAGTATCCTAAGGCAGGGGAAGCTATTTTACGTGATTTTTACATGGACGACTTCTTGTCGGGGCGGAGTCGATAGAGGCTGCTAGAAAATTAAGGCAAGAAGTCAGTAGCATCTTAGCAACTGGGGGGCTTTCATCTTAGGAAATGAAGGTCTAATCGGAAGGAAACGATAATCGAGGAAATTGATGATGACGATAAGGATCATTACTTGGCTAAAGACGAAGATAGTTCAAGGACGTTGGGATTGCTTTGGAATTCAAATAGGGATAAATTACATTTTGAAATAAACTCGAGAAAATTATCAGAGACGGAACAGAATAAGTCGGGAATATTAAGCAAAAGAATAATTTTATCTTGTGTTGCACAAGTGTTTGATCCCCGGGGACTTATAGGACCGATTATAGTTAGGGTAAAATTGTTGTTACAGTCCCTGTGGAAGTCTAAGGTAAATTGGGATGAAGAGATACCCTCAGGAATAGGCTTAGAATGGACTAATTTCAAAGAGCAATTAGAATCTCTAGGAGACTTACATATTGACAGGCAGATATTTTGTTCCGATTCTGTGGAGATAGAGCTCGACTGCTTCTGCGATGCAAGCAACCTTGCGTATGTTGCTTGTGTTTACGCTAGGTCCAAGAATAGAGCAGGGGAATATTGGGTACATTTAATATGTGCAAAATCTAGGATTGCTCCGTTGAAAGTAGTTTCGCTTCCCCGTCTTGAATTATGTGGAGCATTATTGGGGGCTAGATTATGCAGCGCAGTAGTTGAAGCTTTGAGGTTGCAAAATAGTAAAGTTCGGCTTTGGTGTGATTTAACCATTGTATTGTGTTGGTTAGCAGGCGAACCTATAGAATGAAATACCTTTGTGGCTAATCGTACTGCTGAAATTCAAGAGTTGTCTAAAGGACGTAAATGGAGGCATGTTAGGTCACAAGACAACCCCGCGGATATAATATGGAGGTATGGATGTGAGCTTGTTAAAACGTATTGATTTGTGGTGGCACGGGCCAAAGTGGCTTTCACAAAATGAAGAAGACTTGCCACAAAATGGGTATGAGGTAGCAGAGATTCCAGAGAGGCGGACAATGAAAAAATGTTTCGTGTCGACAATTTCAATAGAAATCTTAGAGCGTTATTCTTGTTGGGTAAAATTATTGGGGGTGACTGGGTTTTGTTTACGATTTATGGAAAATTGTCGAAAAGAAAAGGGACGTAATCGGGCACGGTGGTGTAGCGGTCTATCGCGCTTATATTCATTTATAGGCAAGTTTATGAGTCTGAGACTGCTGGGTTTCGAATCCCAGACCGGACCATGTGGATTTTTAATTAAATTGCATGGTTCGGTTTAGGATTTGATGTGTGGCGTATTAATAGAAATTCAATTTCTGTTGATATGACATGCAGATTAAAAAAATTCGCCATACATTACCGTCTCGATGATGGTGGGTGAGGTTTTCCGGGTTTTCCTCACCTGTAAGTCAAATGGCACCATCAATCATCTTTAAGTCGCCCCGGAGCGCCACGGCAAATAATAATAATAGCCGTCCCTTTCCCCGGACAAGCTCAGCTTTTGGGGTTAAAATTCACTCGTAAGGGGGTGAATTAGGGAGAGTATTATTATTATTATTATTATTATTATAGGCTCATTAACGGTTGAAGAAAGACAAAGGGCTCTAGAAATTTTAGTACGGTTATCTCAGAAACAACATTTTGAGACTGAAATTCGTTGTCTAGGAAATTCTAAAGGTTTGCCAAAGTCCAGTAAACTCATATCGCTTAATCCATTTTTAGACGAACTAGGAATATTAAGGGTTGGGGGTCGTCTAGCTAAATCGGAATTAAGCTTTGAACAAAGTCAACCGATAATTTTATCAGATAAAAGTCACTTGACTATTTTGTTAATAAGACATGAACATTATAAAATGCTACATGCAGGCGCACAAGCATTACTTGCAAATATTCGGTTAGCGTTTTGGCCTATAGGTGGAAGACGCACAGTCAGATCGGTTTTAAAAAAATGTATAGTGTGCTACAGGGTAAAGCCACGTGTGGCAAAGCAATTAATGGGAAATTTACCTATAGCGCGAGTTACGCCGTCTAGGCCCTTTAGTCATTGTGGGATTGATTTTTGTGGACCCTTTGTAACAAAGGTGCAAAATTGGTAGAAGACCTGACAACACAGGCATTTTTAAATAGTTTTAAACGTTTTATCGCGAGAAGCGGATTAGGTAGTGATTTGTATTCCGATAATGGTACCAATTTTGTTGGGGCCAATAACGAAATACAAAAATTATTAGAATTTTTTCGAAATGATGACAGACAAAATAAGCTTACGGATTTCTTTTCGAAAATGTTCATCCGATGGCATTTCATACCACCAAGGTCACCGCATTTTGATGGATTGTGGGAGTCGGCAGTAAAATCCGCTAAGTTTCATATACGGAGGGTGGTGGGAGAGCAAATACTTTCCTTTGAGAAATTATATACGGTTGCAACTCAGATAAAGTCTTGTATGAACTCCCGTCCATTGATTCCTTTATCCAAAGACCCTTCAGACTTAAATGTTTTGACAGCTGGACACTCTTTGCTGGGATCTGTATTGACTGCTCTTCCATATGAAGATTTGTTGAATGTTAAACAAAACAGACTGAAAATGTATCAGTTATTGACTAAGATGATTCAAGGATTTTGGAGTAGGTGGTCCAAGGAGTATATTACCACGCTGCAACAAAGAAATAAATGAAGGATACCTGAGGACAACGTGCAAGTAGGTGCTTTGGTACTCTTGAATGACGATGACTTGCCTCCGTTAAAATGGTTGCTGGGCAGAGTTATTGACATTCACACCGGGAGTGATGGACAATGTCGCGTTATGACAGTGAAAACTTCTACGGGAGTGTTTAAAAGAGCAATAGCGAAATTGTGCATAGTGTCCATAGAAATCGAGTAATATTCGAAAAACTTGACTTTACATTTGTTTTTTTTATGTATACAGTCCACTGTTTTTTTTGTGATTATTTTGTATTGGGTTATTTGTAATATTTTTTATTGAATGACAAGCATTCAAGGGGGCGGCATGTTAAGTCTTATTGTTTTAGACTTTATTTTAAAACCGGCAACCCCGCACACATATTGATTATTCTTTGCGCCTTGTTCTAAAAGGCATAGGGTTTTTAAGATCTTATAAAAATTGGAGCGAATGGTGCAACGTTGACCGGCAAACGGTTCATTCTGTTAGTTTGTATTTTTTCTATTACTTTAAATTGGTATAAAAACCATAAAGCAGTTTTTTTGGGTTATTTAAAGTGTAATCAAACAAACCTTCTCAAACTATCTAGACTTTTCGTTGACGTGGAATGACATTTCCAGACATTTCTGGACTATTCTATCTTCTTTTACTTGTACTTTTACTTATTACGACCGCAGCACACTGTAGAGCGATGAGTAACAATCCACTTCTTTTTCTATTCGTTCGTTTCCTATACCAGCCGCAGGCTACTGCAGGGTGCTGTGTAGTTATTCGCCCCGAATAGCTTAATTACTAGGACCTGGTTGGAGCCAACGGGGAGGATCAGGACCACGATATGTTTTAACGTGAACTACCTTGGGTTTATAGTTTAAATAGACTGCTTATCCATACGTAAATAAAACGATGAAAAGCGGG